GCCCCTAAATAAGATCTGGCGCAACCAATTACCTTCAGAAGTCACTTAATTAGTTAAATAAAGTCCACCTGTGTGCAATCTAAGTGTCAAATGATCTGTCATATGATCTCAGTATATATACACCTGATCTGAAATGCCCCAGAGTCTGCAACACCACTAAACAAGGGGCACCACCAAGCAAGCGGCACCATGAACACCAAGGAGCTCTCCAAACAGGTCAGGGACAAAGTTTTGGAGAAGTACAGATCAGGGTTATAAAAAAAAATCAGAAACTTTGAACATCCCACGGAGCACCATTAAATCCATTATTAAAAAATTGAAAGAATATGGCACCACAACAAACCTGCCAAGAGAGGGCCGCCCACCAAAACTCACGGTCCAGGCAAGGAGGGCATTAATCAGAGAGGCAACAAAGAGACCAAAGATAATCCACAGCGGAGATTGGAGTATCTGTCCATAGGACCACTTTAAGCCATACACTCCACAGAGCTGGGCTTTACGGAAGAGTGGCCAGAAAAAAGCCATTGCTTATAGAAAAAATAAGCAAACACGTTTGGTGTTCGCCAAAAGGCCTGTGGGAGACTCCCCAAACATATAATAATAATAATAATAAACCATTTAGCAGACGCTTTTATCCAAAGCAACTTACAGTCATGCATGCATAAATTTTTGTGTATGGGTGGTCCCGGGGATTGAACCCACTACCTTGGCGTTACAAGGCATGCTCTACCAGCTGAGCAACAGAGGACCACTATGGAGGAAGGTACTCTGGTCAGATGAGACTAAAATTGAGCTTTTTGGCCATCATGGAAAATGTCTGGCGCAAACCCAACACCTCTCATCAACCCGAGAAAACCATCCCCACAGTGAAGCATGGTGGTGGCAGCATCATGCTGTGGGGATGTTTTTCATCGGCAGGGACTGGGAAACTGGTCAGAATTGAAGGAATGATGGATGGCGCTAAATACAGGGAAAATAGTTCAATATTGATTTAATCAGGTCTGAGAGTCCTTTAGGTGCCTTTTGGCAAACTCCAAGCGGGCTGTCATGTGCCTTTTACTGAGGAGTGGCTTCCGTCTGGCCACTCTACCATGAAGGCTGCATAGATGGTTGTCCTTCTGGAAGGTTCTCTCATTGCCACAGAGGAACTCTGGAGCTCTGTCAGAGTGACCATCGGGTTCTTGGTCACCTCTCTGACCAAGGCCCTTCTCCCCCAATTGCTCAGTTTGGCCGGACGGCCAGCTCTAAGAAGAGTTCCAAACTTCTTTCATTTAAGAATGATGGAGGACACTGTGTTCTTGGGGACCTTCAATGCTGCAGAAATGTTTCGGTACCCTTCCCCAGATCTGTGCCTCGACACAATCCTGTCTCGGAGCTCTACGGTCAATTCCTTCGACATCATGGCTTGGTTTTTGCTCTGACATGCACCGTCAACTGTGGGACCTTATATAGACCGGTGTGTGCCTTTCCAAATCATGTCCAATCAATTTAATTTACCACAGGTGGACTCCAATCACATTGTAGAAACATCTCAAGGATGGTCAATGGAAACAGGATGCACCTGAGCTCATTAGCCTACATCTTTCTCTCTTTATTGTTGCTTCATTCCTTCCTCGCGTTCAACAGTTAAATTAAATATGTTTCGCTGTCCATCATTCTAATGACATCCTTGAATAATATAGGACTAGAATTAGATGCAGAAGGCTTTCACTTATTTTCTTCACGAAGATTGAATGGTTATGGGTCTGAACAAAGTAACTGCTATAGCCTAGCGCCATCGCACGTTCGCTCTTCTTTCAAACTACCCGTGAGTTCTACTCGGCTGCTATACTTAACTGTCAGCATAAAAAGAGCTTGTGTCCTTCTTCGAATAGTCTATTGGTATAAGAAATGCAAAAAAATAAAATCTAGTCTAGTGTATCACCATGTGTATAGTGCAAAGTGATTGTTAATGTGCATAAATGAGAAGGATATTTGTTAGTCAGGGGCTTTTACTGTGCGGTCCGCGGTGCAGCCGTCCCAATGTGTCAGTACCAAAAGGCAGTAAGGATGTTCAGGGATCACACTCCTGTGGCTATGGCTGCACAACTAACATAATGACATAATGGCTGAGTCCCAACTGACTATATGGGGTCAAAAGTAATGCACTATATAGGGAATAGGGTGCCATTTGGGACACAACCTATGACAGAGTCTCTGCAGGACATCTGACATTGCAGCCCAAAATGCCATCTCAGCACTCCCCCATCCAAACCACATTGGGCAGCGACAATATGATACTTTATTCAACCCCTAACATATTAATCCTGGTTTCCCAACACTGGTATTTATCATTTCTTAACCCCACTGCCTATAAAAGAGTGAATGTGGAAGGTGCGAATTTTGGGTGTGAATCACAGTCAGGATTGGGTGTAGGAAGAGAACATGAATTTAATATAATTTTATTACAATTTAATAAAGACCAGAATAAGATTATGTGTCTGTCTTTCTAGTAAATAGGTGTGTAAGAGGAGAATAATCAAGTATAGAGCTCAAATGTTTAAGCACTCAAAACGTCAGGGAAGACGAAATTGACACGTTTCTTCTTTTAATAACAAAAGGTGCTCAGGTGCAGCAAATATTTCGGCACAGATTGTTTACATTTGCACCTTTGCTTTTGCGACTAATTCAAGCATTTTTCGGAGTGAGCACTTTTGAATTTTATTTTATTTATTTACAGAATTAGGATCTTCATTTGTTCACCCTGTTGCAGGAGAACCTTCCTGCAATGCAAAATGTGGTGTATTTGAGGTTTAAAAAGGCTTCTGACATTTGGAATTTCCACTTTGAAATTTCAGACTTGAATTTCCCTATCAAACCCTACAAAAATGTCCATTTATTATAATCATTCATTATGATCCACATAATAATTCACATTTCCTGTTTCTTTTCCTGCTTGAGCAAACTGCCGCAAATTAAGATCCTACATCTGTAAGTACTCACAGTTTTTCTATTTATGAGGCAATTAATTTACAATATGATTCACTAGTGGTGAGGGAAGTTTTACACCTCATTAGAGGTCCACCGAACATCAGAATGTGCTACAGCAGTTGGACAAGAAATGTTGCACTCACACAAGCTGTTCAACACAACAGTCAAAAAATAACTTTATTCATTACAATTTTATCTGACATAGAGCAAATAAAATGTTACCTGTTGACATTTAACAGATACAACTTTACCTGTTGACAAATCACAAAATCTAACAAGTACAGTGCATAGCATATCCATAAATCTGAGGTTGAAATTAAGTTCAGTCCCAATGACCCAAAAGCTCAGTCATACATCAACAAATGACATCGCTCAACTTAACCACCAAGCTTTTAATTCTAATGGAGGCTCTTTGGAACCATTTCTCTGAGTACAGAACCCCGTCCCTCACTTCTCGCCAGGCTTAAGTATTTTTGAACTAATCTTCTAAACCTAGCTATACTGAACAAAAATATAAATGCAACATGTCAAGTGTAGTTCCCATGTTTTATGATCTGAAATAAAAGATCCCAGAAATGTTTCATACGCACAAAAAGTTTATTTCTCTCAATTTTTGTGCACAAATTTGTTTACATCCCTGTTAGTGAGCATTTCTCCTGTGCCAAGATAATCCATCCACCTGACAAGTGTGGCATATCAAGTAGCTGATTAAACAGCATGATCATTCCACAAAAAAAGCCACTCTAAAATGTGCAATATTGTCACACAACACAATGCCACGGATGTCTCAAGTTTTGAAGGAGCGTGTAATTGGCATTCTGACTGCAGGAATGTCCACCAGAGCTGTTGCAAGAGAATGTAATGTTATTTTCTCTACCATAAGCCGCCTCCAACGTTGTTTTAGAGAACTTGGCAGTACGTCCAACTGGCCTTACAACTGCAGACCATGTGTAACCACTCCAGCCCAGGACCTCCACATCTGGCTTCTTCACCTGCGGGATCATCTGAGACCAGCCACCCAGACAGCTGATGAAACATAGGAGTATTTCGCTCTGTAATAAATCCCTTTTTGGGGGAAAAACTAATTCTGATTGGCTGGGCCTGGCTCCCCAGTGGGTGGGCCTGGCTCCCAAATGAGTGGGCCTATGCCCTCCCATGGCTGCACCCCTGCCCAGTCATTTAAAATCCATATATTAGGGCCTAATTTATTTATTTCAATTGACTGATTTCCTTATATGGACTGTAACTCAGTAAAATCATTGAAATTGTTGCAAAGCCTATTCCCCATCAGGAGACTGAAAAGATTTGGCATGGGTCCTCAGATCCTCAAAAAATTCTACAGCTGCACCATCGAGAGCATCCTGACTGGTTGCATCACCGCCTGGTATGGCAACTGCTTGGCCTCCGACCGCAAGGCACTACAGAGGGTAGTGCGTACGGCCCAGTACATCACTGGGGCCAAGCTTCCTGCCATCCAGGACCTCTATACCAGGCGGTGTCAGAGGAAGGCCCTCAAAATTGTCAAAGACTCCAGCCACCCTAGTCATAGGCTGTTCTCTCTGCTACCGCACGGCAAGTGGTACCGGAGTGCCAAGTCTAGGTCCAAAAGACTTCTCAACAGCTTCTACCCCCAAGCCATAAGACTCCTGAACAGCTAATCATGACTATTTGCACTGCCCCCCCACCCCATCCTTTTTACGCTGCTGCTACTCTGTTAATTATTTATGCATAGTCACTTTAACTCTACCCACATGTACATATTACTTCAACTATCTCAACTAGCCAGTGCCCCCGCACATTGACTCTGCACCGGTACCCCCCTGTATATATAGCCTCCCTGCTGTTATTTATTTTACTTCTGCTCTTTTTTTCTCAACACTTTTTTTGTTGTTGTTTTATTTTTACTTTTTTTGTTAAAAATAAATGCACTGTTGGTTAAGGGCTGTAAGTAAGCATTTCACTGTAATGTCTGCACCTGTTGTATTCAGCGCATGTGACCAATAAAATAAGATTTGATTTGATTTGATGTTGCGTTCATATTTTTGTTCAGTATATTTTTCCTTCATCCCCATTGATTGGTGTCACATTGATGGTTCAGTCCATTGGTGATTTAGTAATTTTTACATGATGCAGTCTCCTTCAACTCATGGTACCCCTGGTGGTTTGGCTCTGTAAGGAGAGAGAGGGGAGTTAGGAGTGGAAAGGACCACATTGTACCTGATCTCTTGCCGTATTTCCTAATAAAAGCCTCTTTTAGAATTATAGGCTGTCCAATCATGGGAAAAACTCTCTAACATGTAATAGTTATTTATATTAGGCCTACTGGCATAGTAGTATGACAATTAAAAGAAACCATTTGTGTGCAATTTAATATTTGTGCAAAGCATTTCTGTATCAAAGTTACTGAGAACATATGGTATATCCTGATGTTGCCTATTGTTTTCTACAAGTGTGGATGGAAAAGTTTGAATCAAAACTGCTATCTCATGTCAAGACCATTATTACTTTTGTCTCCTCATCTAATATTCAATAAGAGTATAGTGGCTATTCAATGAAAACTGCTTACACCACCATCCGGTATTCAGTCAGAGTACTGTAGCTCACTATTTAATTTCAACTTCATCTGCAGTCTTGCAGAGATTCCTCACTTTATAATTTTCTGAACATCCCAAACGATATAGACGAACAAGCCCACTAGCAGAATACGTTTGCGAGTTTAGATTAGAGTTATGGTACCCAGACTCATATTCTCCTCTACCAGAGGCCTGGACTCTGTGCAGTTGACAGGGTTTCCCCGGGCTGCTCCTAAGATAGCCATGATGTCCACCAGGTTGAGCTTCCCTTCCTCCTGCAGCTCCTCCACCGCCTCCTCCAACTCCTGCGCCGTCTCGGCCCTCTCCTCGATCTCCTCCGCCGTCAGCATCCCCATGTCCTTCATTCCGTTCCCCTTCCCGATCTGCGGGGGCGCCAGCGAGCATCCGGCCCTCAGCCTGCCATAAGACTGCAGGTGCACCACGTTAGCGTGCAGAAACAGTAAAAGACCATTGAGGTCGTTGAGCGGGCAGCCCAGCTTGCGACCACTGTTGAGGCCCAATGCGGGGAGAACCTCATACACCGACAATAGAGTCGTATCCCAGCAGAAGAGGCGGACCAAGCTGAACAGCACGATAGCCACCAGCAGGACATAGATAGCGCTGTTAGCCACGCTAATCACCTGGAAGACCAGTTGGCCGGTCATCTTGCACTGGACCAGCTCTGGAACCCAGTTCTGGTCACACAGCAGGCCCGTGCGGACGAAGCAGCTGAACGCGTCCTGGAGGAAGGTGGACAGGTGGAAGTAGACAAGGTAGAGGCAGGCGGCCGACATGAAGGTGAGCAACAGGAAGCCGCGCAGAAAGAGCATGCTGACCAGGAAGTAGGAGTCGTGCTTGCTCTGCATGTACCTCTCCAGCAGGGGGTACTCGAAGTAGCGCTTCCGCTTGGCCCTGAAAGAGACCATGGAGGAGATGGGGTTAGAGGACAGTTGGCTCAAACACACTTTCATGTTATTGGCTCTGTTGTTTGATAATGGAGGTTGTATGAGCATCTATGGCATTTATCATAGTATTCAAGATTTAAATAGTTAGTCACATGACTGTAGTTGAAGCATAAATAGTGTCTTGTTTCCATTTTCAGATACTTTTGGCTGTTATTAGCTTACTTTTGCTTTTGTGTTTAAAGAAACAGCACCAATAAAAAAAAGTAAATGGCCACAGCCATGAAAATTACACCCAGAACGTGTTTGCAACTCAAACATCTTCAGAATTGTTTACATTTACATTTAAGTGATTTAGCAGACGCTCTTATCCAGAGCGACTTACAAATTGGTGCATTCAACTTAGGATAGCCAGTGGGACAACCACATCTTGATCACAGTAAGTACACTTCTTCAAACAAGCAGCTGTGAGCAAAGTCAGTGCAATCAGGGACAACTACATCTCGATCACAATAAGTATATTTCTTTAAAGTCAGTGCTAGCAGGTGAAATAAGTCAGGTGTTAGTTTAGACAAAAACAGTGGTAGTAAAGGGGGGTAGAAGGATTACTATAATACTATTCCAGGTATTCCTTAAAGAGGTAGGGTTTCAAGTGTCTCCGGAAGGTGGTCAGTGACTCCGCTGTCCTGGCATCATGGGGGAGCTTGTTCCACCATTGGGGTGCCAGAGCAGCGAATAGCTTTGACTGGGCTGAGCAGGAACTGTGCTTCCGTAGAGGTAGGGGGGCTATCAGGCCAGAGGTGGATGAACGTAGTGCCCTCGTTTGGGTGTCATTGTAGACATCAATCTAAAGGTGTCCACATGCTTCCCAGCCGAAACATTTTGGTAGAGTTTGTGCATATATTAATGACAACATTTTGTGATGTTTTTGTTAGTTTTGGACTTCAGTGAGGGTTTTTTCGGCTGTTCGGGCACACAAAATCTGTTCTGGAGACAATCCGAAGTTCGGAGCCAAAGTCTACTCCCCTTCGTCTGTGATTGGTCAACAGTAAGGATTCTTCAATAAAGTCTTTGTTGTCATTCAATGAAAGACAACTCTTTTTTTATTCACATTTTTTCATTGAGAAATATTGCACCAAACATTAGTTAGATGTAAAATTACGCGAACAAATATCTCCTTGGCAAAAACAGCTAAATTATTGACAGACTTCATGAGTTATCTTACATTAATTCTTACATTAATTCTTACATTAATTCAGACTATTTTGAGGCGTCTCAAAATGGACAAACAGTACTATTGCTGCTTTTTTCTCATTTTTTCAAGCAAATATCTTTTAAGGGAGTATGCAAGCACACACGTTGGGTGCCAGCCAAACTGAAGCATGCTGACGCCTTAAGCCTGCTGACTTCCCCTCTTCCTCAGTCCAAAATCCTCCCTCTACCTGCCTCAACCAATCTCTGCCTCGGCCTATCTCTGCCACAATCTCTGCCACAACCACTCTCAACTCTCAAGCTCGGCTTGGAAGGTTCGGGGGTTCTGGCGCATCTCCAGGATGCTCTGAGCCAATCGTACGGAGCGGTTGTAGGACTTGTCCAGCTCGTCAATGATGAAGAGCAGGTCAGAGCCCAGTGACGGCATCACCAGGAAATGCCAGATGAGGGCAGGCAGGTACATCATCATGGCCATAGCCAACAGAGAGTACGGGAACATCTGAGAGGGAGGGAAGGGGAAGGGAAGGTGAAAAAAAATGAAGAGAAAGGGAGGGGATCGGAAGAGGTAGAGAGTAAGAGATGATGACAGAGAAAGGATAAAGAGTGAGAGAGAATGAGATGAAGAGAAGGGAAGGAGAAAGTGATTTACAGACTACATTTTAAATGTTTAATGAGAAAGCTTAATTACTTTTAATGGATGCTCTTTATTGTGACATTAAGGAAGCAAGAGGCACTTTCCATTAAAAAGTAATGATGATTAGTGTACAAAGCATTAGTAAAAATTCAGTGCTCCATATCTCTCTCCATATCTACTCACAACCTCGATTAATTTTGTAGTGGAAGAATGAGAGAAGGGGATACTCGCGACTGGTGACTTGCAGATGCTGAGGCCCAGCGTGATGACTCAATCACGAATTATGACATTGTTTGGATGGCTGACTATTTGTGGGCTATCACAGGGGTCAAACACACTTTATCTGTGGTAATCTCGAGGAAGAGACATTCCCACGGAAGTCGTGGGGTCACTGACGCCAGGAGAGGTGTGAAGACTGATGAAACTTGAATCAACAAAATTAATGAAATTGTAATGTTTGTATTGTTTCTAGAGTTCATGAAGAGCTATGCATTTGTATATGTTTTATTGTACTGTAAGTGCTATGGATTTATTGTTACAGGGAAGCTGTGTTATTTTGTTCATCGGATGGCAGATAGTTAAAAGAGGAGCAACACAGGGGTGCGCTCCTATCATTTTAATTGAGTTGATTACATCAGAATCTGGGTGTTCCAGTCTTTTGTTTTTACTAGAAAAGTGCAAAGAAATGCTAAATCAGGTTGGGCATGAGTTTCTGCTTGAATTTGTTTAAAATGCACTGAATTTGCTCATATTTTGAGAACTTGCTACCAAGCTCCTTTGTGTATCACACACACAGAACTAAAGACACGTGTAAGTCTTATTTAGTGTCACGCCCTGGCCTTGAGAGGCCGGTTGTCTTTAGTTGGTTTGGTCAGGGCGTGAGGATCTATGTTAGTATTTCTATGTTTAGGATCTAGATGGCCCGGGTTAGAGAGGAGCAACGGCAACACAGAAGGTGCAAGCCGAGGAGGAAGCCCGAGAGACAGCCCCAAGAAAAAATGTTGGGGGGCTAAAAGGGTGGTCTGGGATCGATAGAGAAGAGCCCCGACCACTGCACTCGTGTGGGCTCAAGAAGGAGTCCTCACTGGAGGAGGACTGGGCGCGGAGAGTAAAAGACTGGTACAGTCGGAGATCTCTAACAACAGTTCCCAGTCCGGTACACCTCGTGCCTGTGTCTCGCACCAACCTAGTGGTGCGTGTTCCCAGTCCGGTACGGCCCGTGCCTGCTCCTCGCACCAAACCAGTGGTGCGTGTCGCCAGCCCGGTACGCCCCGTATCTGCTCCCCGCACCAAGCCAGTGGTGTGTGTTCCCAGTCCAGTACGGCCCGTACCTGCTCCTCGCACCAAACCAGTGGTGCGTGTTCCCAGTCCGGTACGGCCCAAACCAGTGGTGCGCGTATCCAGTCCGGTACAGCCCGTGCCAGCTCCTCGCACCAAACCAGTGATGCGTGTATCCAGTCCAGTACGGCCCGTACCTGCTCCCCGCACCAAACCAGTGGTGTGTGTCGCCAGCCCGGTACGCCCCGTACCTGCAACCCGCACCAAACCAGGGGTGCGTGTTCCCAGTCCGGCCCGGCCCATTCCTGCTCCTCGCACCAGACCTGTGGTGCGTGTTCCCAGTCCGGCCCGTTCCTGCTCCGCGCACCAGACCTGTGGTGCGTGTCCCCAGTCCGGCCCGGCCTGTTCCACCGGTGCCTGGTCCAGCAACGGTCAGCGGCTCCACTCCGGAGCCAGAGCAGTCCGCTCCACCGGGGTCCAGTTCAGCTCCGGTCAGCGACTCCACTTCAGACCCAGACGTCAGCCCCTCTCCAGGTTCGGGGTCTCCCACACCAGGGTCCAGACAGGGCTTGGTGCATCGTGGGAGGATTGCCTATCCAGGCCCAGACGTCAGCCCCTCTCCAGGTTCGGGGTCTCCCACACCAGGGTCCAGACAGGGCTTGGTGCATCGTGGGGGAATTGCCGATCCAGGCCCAGACGTCAGCCCCTCTCCAGGTTCGGGGTCTCCTACACCAGGGTCCAGACAGGGCTTGGTGCATCGTGGGAGGAAGGAGAGGGGAAGCATCGCGCCGAGGTCTAGACCAGGGGCGCAACGGGGAGGCAGAGAGGGAGAGGTCGTCACGCCCGGAGCCGGATCCGCCTCCGAAGCTGAATGCCCACCCGGACCCTCCCCTAATGAGTCAGGTTGGTGCGGCCGGAGTACGCACCTTTGGGGGGGGGGGGGGTACTGTCACGCCCTGGCCTTGAGAGGCCGGTTGTCTTTAGTTGGTTTGGTCAGGGCGTGAGGATCTGTTAGTATTTCTATGTTTAGGATCTAGATGTGTATTTCTAGGTTTGGCCGGGTGTGATTCCCAATCAGAGGCAGCTGTTGCTCGTTGTCTCTGATTGGGGATCATACTTAAGTAGCCTGTTTGCCTACCTTAGTTGTGGGATCTTGTTCCGTGTTAGGCTTGTATGTGTATAGCCTGAGGACTTCACCTTACGTTGTTTTGTTTATGTTTATTGAGTTTAATAAACATGTACGCTTTTCACGCTGCACCTTGGTCTGACCCGTCTCTCAACGTTCGTGACATTTAGTTGATTGATAGTCATTTTAACTAATGTATCATGTATTTCTGTGGTCCTCTGTAGCTCAGCTAGTAGAGCACGGCGCTTGTAACGCCAAGGTAGTGGGTTCGATCCCCGGGACCACCCATACAAAAAAAAAAATGTATGCACTCATGACTGTAAGTCGCTTTGGATAAAAGCGTCTGCTAAATGGCATATTATTGTTATTATATTATTATTTCATGTACACTGTAATTGTTTGAGTGTTAATTCTTTAGTGACTAATAAATCCTATTAGTTGAATTGAGTAAATGCATTCCTTGTTTTACAGAGTAATTATTTGATTGACTATACGCTTATAATTTAGTAGGTCTATTGGTAGTTGTTATTTACACTACACATGATCGGGTACCACTTTGACATCTCTGATCTGCTTGCCTCGATAAATTAATGCTAGAACATTGGTTGTCAGGATTAGCTATTTGTTTCTAGTCTCTTCAAAATTGTATAACGGTGCAAGTTAGACATATGTTCATTATAGTCATACTGAGAGGTGATGTAAGGCTCGCTACCTTGACTAGATTCCTCCAGAGACGTACACGGCCTGTTGCATTTATTCACATAATATTGGAGTCAGATTGATTAATGTAGTTTATTATTATATTCAACAATTTCTACATATCGGTTGGATCATTTCCACACCCCTACAAATGGTGACTCATCCAGTTGATGGGGATTTCCATTACACTACAATTTCTCACAATGAACACCTAAAACTCAAGAAAATTGTATTGTGCTACATCAGAAACACGTACACCCTCACAAGCTTGTGACCCAGCTCCTCATCAGCCGCTTCTGAACAGACTGCCCACCAAAATACACATCAAAATATACAAATGGACACAGCACACGGCTAACTCCATCATTATCCCCATGAGCAGGAGGTCCATGTCTTACTTGGACAGCCCAGTATTTATAGAACTGCTTAATACATATTTATAAAACCCATCTAAAATTGCATGTCTGAGCTTTGAAATGAGTTAATGGCCTCCGTAACAGAAATCTCAGGTTGTTCATGTCTTGTCAAAGTTTAAAAGTGTTATGTTTGGAGAAATCTTTAAATGTCCCTTTTAAAAATACATTTGGTTTCTCTCTTAAGAATGTATTGTCAGTGCATATTTTTGAATTGGGAATCTTCCAACAACACTGCCAAATACCAGAATAGCCCACAAAAAGCCTCCAGTATACCATTGACTCTTCATCAACTTATTTTACACTGATGTCATTTATCACCTGACAAAGAGCAACAATTTACAGTAGTTTTATCACTTTTTTTGTCCAATTCTTGTGCCACATTAACGTGTGTGCAATTGTCTCTCGTTCCACCATGACAGAACACAGCAGGGCTTACTTTGTGCACCCAGAGGGATCGCTCCTCAAGGTTTCCGTCTCAAACTCATGGTGCATCAGGGTGTCCCAGCAGTGCGTGTCCACGTAGGCTGCCTGCCTGGCTGTGAAGTTGTTGGGTGGGAAACAGCTGGGCCTACAGGAAAAACAAATATAGATTTGAACTATTTTAAGCTCAGCAATTACACTGGTCCAGTTTGTAAAGGCATTACATTTTACATTTACATTTTAGTCATTTAGCAGACGCTCTTCTACAGAGCGACTTACAGTTAGTGAGTGCATACATTTTTTCATACTGGCCCCCTGTGGGAAACGAACCCAAAACCCTGGCGTTGCAAGCGCCATGCTCTACCAACTGAGCTACAATGACATAAAGATGCATGCATGTACACACACATAACATACTTGCATGCATAGACATAAACAAACACCACAGAGAGAGAGAGAGTTTCCTTAATGTCAAAGTTTGCCTTAATGCTTTTTAGAAGGTTCCCTTTTCCAGAAGCAGAAAGGTTAGCCCTACCAAATCTAAATCATATGCTTCTAAATGGAAACCTGAGTTTTAAAACAGGGTGGTATTACCCTCCTAATATGTGGGTCTTTTTCAGGACCGAGCTCAGCCCGTTCCACCATACAGATGGTTGAACCACAGAGCCAAGGGTCCACACCCTTCCGTTCAGCCCATCTCCTCTACAGCAGTGCTGGGTGGGCAGGGCAAAGGGCAAAGGGCCACTTCAGAGGAAACCCTGAGTTAAACACAGGACGCCCTATTTTTATATACAGCCTCCAAATCTCCACATCTGTGAAAGTCTCCTAAAAGAAGTACACCCAACCATCCAGTTACTGCATTATGGTACTACGGATAACTGTACATGGATGGATTACATGTTACATGATGTGCGTGCATGCGCGCGTGTGTGTGTGTACATGTGTGCGTGTCTTTGTGGACATTGAGATAGCTGGGGACATGCTGTATCCAAAATGGACTATGTATAACAAGACCGTCAGGTTACAAGGGAACACAGACAGCAACAAAGCATGTTCCTTCTACCACTGGGCAACAGTTTGACATCCCTATCTTGCTTGTTACCCATTGTACAACAAGGGCTCCTTCTCACCCAGCTATTTGTAGCTGTGGGCAGAAATCTTGGCTGCTGCAGCAGGTGCAGACAACACAGACACCACCAACCAGATGAAAGATGAAGCAGACAACAAACCAAGCTAGATAAGGAGGGCCAAGATCCATCAACTGTTCCTAGGCTGTCCCTCGTTTTGCAACATCTCCCAGTTAATTAACATACAATCTAATTTAACTTCGATAGAGAGCTGCAAAAGGAGTAGGTTGCCAGTAATTACCAAGCAACGCGGCATCGGCGAACGCTGCTCTCAGTCATCCTCCTGCCAATTAGCATCTCTAACAGCTGATTATAGTCCAGCTCGACGGGAAGACGACCGTTAGCTCAATGTCAATGAAACAAGGAAATAAGCTTGCCTGTATGTAGCCTTTTCTGTGTGCCACTACCACACACATTGTTGTGTTAGTGTTATTGTTGCAGTTGACCACAGTTGGTGTCCAGTACATGTCAACTCAAGTCAGAAAACAAATGGAAATTCTATGAATAAATTGAAAGAGACCTTATATTTCCTGAGAAACGTTACAATTAACTTTTTGAATAGTTGATAGAATTGTCTCCATAACCCTTATACTACAACGAGGACAGTTTGAACATCCAGTGCCCCCATGTACCCTCCATTCACAAAAGTGCTGTGCAAACAATGGGTTGTGACTGAATCTGAATGACTAACTCCCTTGCCTAAACACAGATTATCACTCCTGCACAGTAAAGGGAAAAAGACAAGCGAGAAGAGACTAGAGAGAGAAATGTGAGACAAAGGAAAATAAAATTGAGGAATATTGACACAATGATACAGGGGACAAAAGAGCCAAAAATAAACACAGAAAAGGAAAGAGGCAAAAAGAGAGAAAAGGAAATCATATCAGAGAATGTACCAAATGTGATTTGCAGCAAAACAAGAACTAGAAGAGAGAGAGAGAGAGAGACGGAAAGACAGATGGAGCGACACAGACTGACCATTGGAGATTTCGCGAGCGAAGGCCATGGACACCAGCAGCAAGGGCAGCCCCACGGACACAAACTTGATGACCCTGTCGAGCGGCAGCTCCAGCTCCAGGTGACCAATGCGGTTGCCCCCGGCACCGTCCCGGAGCAAGGCGGCCGACAGCATGTCCTGGGCGGCTGCATTAGCGATGGACATCTTGACGCCTAGAGATGTACAGGGAAATGTTGGATTTACACCAACCTGAGTCCACTGAGACCTGGGAGAACAGAGTTTTACACTAGTACAGGAAGTTCTTTTTTTGGATGGGCCAGATTAATTCCAAACTGGCAACCGGAGTCCACTGAGACTTGATAGCACTGAGCCCTAGTAAAGCATGAAGGGTTTTTAGCATAGGGTGGGGTTTAGACCCAACTGGCAACCAGGAGTTTCTGGGTTAGCTAGGGGAAATACATTTGTCCTACCCTGTAGAGTATTAGAATGTACTTTGTTTTCAGTTGTTTCTTTTTTGTATTGATACAGATTTGAGATTGACCATGTAATGGTATTAAACCACTAGGATTATAGTCTTGATATCCAATCTGAGAAATAAAACTGGTATTCATTGTGTGAAGTAATCATCAAAACTGTATGCAAAACAGGATGAGAAGAGAAAATAATATCTCAGATATTTTTCTTGAATTGACAATACTGTAAATACCAAACATGCATCAAAGTACTTTAAACCATTGGTATAAATACCACTTATTCTACACACCTCTATCTCCCTAAATGTCAACAGTCTTTCAGTCATCTCCATTCCACGTCTTCTACAATACAATGATAAACAGCTTCCATGTTACCTTCAATCCGCTTGCTCTTTTCAGTGACCAGTGACTGCAGGGTGGAAATCCAGTAAGGAAATGCAGTGAGACAACTGAACCAAACGCCTCTCTGAAGATCAGAGCTGTGTTGGCGAGGCTCTTAAGTACTCCAGGAGGGCCCTGCTATGTGACAGGCTGGGACTGGGCTGGACTGGGCCTGGCTCCTGGGTCTATGGGTCTAATTATAAGGGACCACTGTTGCTGTATGCTGGTGCCCAGATGGCAGTGGTGGCTCTGCAACTCCACCGACCTAAAGGGTTGGCTGCTGTGTGTCTGGGGTGGGAGGAGGGAGTGGCGACTGTGTGTGTGTGTATGAGCATGTGTGTGTCTGTACTTTTATGTGTGTGTGTGTGTGGCTTGTGTGTGTGCATATGACACACTGTCTTGCCTCATCACTGAGGTCCCAACCATGCTCTTGACTGCCATGGCAGCGGCCCACTTCAAACAAGGCCCAAGCACCAGTGACTTTTCCTGTCTCTGTCATTTCCCCTCTTATTTATACCTCAGGTTGGCTCTAGAGCTTCAGCTGCTGCTAGCATACAGTATGGAGAATGGTAGTTACAGTTAGGCTCTGTCTGCTACAGCTATTTCAGTGCTGCTGCTAGGACGGGTAACTTTAGTGGAACTGGATGACTGGTAACTAGTGCAATGTAGAACAGACTGCCATAGCCCTAATGGCAATCATGGAATACTTGGTCATATGTAGTCCAAATACAGATACAATGATTTTGGTGGCCATCTACAATGAATTAGGTTAAGGATACAAGTGTGTATGTATGTGTGTGTGTGTGTGTGAATCTCTGAAATTAATGTATAACGGCCATCTACAGAAGATCCTAGAGTTGTATAATATTCAGCAAATGTTTTTTGATACTCTACTTATATGGGTCACCCAAATTTAAAGGTAGGAAGACATTTGGGTGGTACTCCAGCAAGACCAAATCACAGGCTTGATTAACAACCAGTGGGTAGGATATAAGAGACATGACAAGGAAATGTGGGAGGTTGCTCTACATTGAGGCTGTTTAGTCTGAGCTTCATCTGTAATTTGTGGAGAAGTGTGGTTATTGTCTAATACAGAAGTGGTCTTTTTTGTTTGCAAAGCAGAGGCCTAGTGTTGGGTTACTGTCAGCATGCAACAGGTAATGTGGCTTGGGTGAACTTTTCTGACAGGAGCAATGGCGTAAGACTAAACAATGAGCAACAGACACACATTCATTACAATGTATGTGGGGTATCTTTAGCCCTTTAACAGTCTGCAGTTGTTTTTGATATAATTTGTACTATTTTCATTGTAATACCCAATCTGGCCACAGGGAGGAGAAGTAGAGACTGAGGCTGTCCTAATATGCACACGGTGTGTGATCACTGTCGTATGCACACACCTTTCTGCCTCAGAAAGGATTCTGAAACTAGAAGCTTTATCTATTTTAATTATAAACAATTGTCTATTGAAACAATAGATTATGACAACAATGTCTACAAACAAAATAAATGAAATCCCTATTGTCACTTGCTCTGGAAGAACCATTTAAAAAATAAGCAATCAAGAAAATGTATAATGAAGAACATACTTCACAAAGACCAATCTCAATGAACATTCAAGAACAGGTTTTTCTTTTCTAGACATCACATCAGAAAACGGGTGGCTTCATTTTGTGAATTTCATTTAGCACAAAAATAGGGTTGAAATTAGTTTTCACAGTTTCTTCAAATCCTTAACGTAAAACATAGAGAATTGTTTCAGGAATTTAACTTTTCCCTTTAAATATCCAGGCTTTCTCTTTAAATTGTCTTTTTCTTGCAAAGGTTTTCACTTAATTATGTTAGTTCTGTGAATTGAGGACTCAATTCAGTCACCTCTCTCCATGTTGGTATGTTTTTCTTTAACTCATTCAGACACTGTTACCAAGGCAGTGTTTTGTTTGTAATGTGAATCCTCAATGTGACATACAGTATTTCTTTCCAGTCTTGAGATTTTGTCACCTTGACTGGCCATCAGTAACTTCGATAACTCAGATTCACTCAAACGTTTTCTCAATTGCAAGATCTCTAGAACATCACAACAGTTACTTTGTGCCTTCTTCAAAGAAGGTGCCATTTGATCCGTCTTCTGAGAGCTCAAATATTTTTTTAAATAAATATGCAAGCCTTCAACAATGTAACGCAAACGTCAAAACATCTAATATACATACTTTGTGCAGTTTTTGCTCTTGGCCTCAAAGAATTAAACGTTTTTTGAATCATGCCCAAAAACATCGATTTTGTTGCAGAGAAGAATCGCTCGTCATCAACAATATGAAAAAGTGTGTGTAAAACATAATGACAACATAGTGTTTATGGAGTCAATCTGAACGGACTAAGGCTTGGATGATACCAAAGCATGGAACCCAACGTGACGGTCAGGTATAGACCTACAGATCAAGTTCACAATCAACTCACATACAGCAACTCATAGTTTTCTCAATTGTCATTGTTTTGTCAGTAATAAAACATAAGAGAATTGGGGTGACCCACTAGTCCACAGAGTATGGTGTCCATTTTAGGACCCACATTGTATGGTGACCATTTTAGGACACCTTCAGACCCCTAATCCTCATATAGGATCTTCAGTCTTAAAGAGTTCTGATGGGACGGATCTGTAGTTTCTAGACAGACATCCATGGTAGAAAAAACAAAATGCCCATTCAAGGTGTGTCTGTTGCCTGAATCTAGGGGCTGGTCAGGGGGTAAGATTGAATGGAGGTGTGGTTTGTGGAGGGAGAGTATGGGCTGGATCGTGTTCATTAGGGCGCCCATAACAAAATGAATGTTTCTTAGTGTAGAACATTCCAGGTAGTCCCTTTCTGTTTCAGTCTGTTTTCTTCCGTTTGGTGACTACTGAACAGAACCCAGGTGTCAAAAGGTCACGTTGTCCTCTAACATTTCTCATTACTCTAGCCCCTCTCTATGCTCCATGCCCAGATCTCTCCTTCCTCCACCACCGGATATATGTCTCCTTCCCTCGCTCTCTTCCTCCTCCTCATCATCTTCCTCTTCCTCCTCCTCTTCCATCACTTCCTCTTCCTCCTCTTCCTCTTCCTCTGTGCCATCCATGGAGTCGTCGGTTCCCCCCAGCATGGCTTGCTGCATGGCCAGGGTGGCTGAGTCAGAGGACAGTGGCTGGAGGCTATCCAAGCCTAGGGGGTCTGTATGAGAAGAAGGAGAAGCAGGCAACGCAGGGTTAACACACTAACACACAAACTTGACATTATAACTGCCTCTGATTCTATATCCTTCTCATCAAAATGTGCACTCATTCACTCCCCTTATGGGAATTAAAGGAATGAACTGGTCTAATGTGGTGGAATCACTATAGCCCATGCCAATATTCACTGTATTTTATTCACTGATCCATTGCTTTTAAACCCATGAGGATGAGTGCGCCTTGATGAAGTAGGTTGAAATAACGAGGAAACTATGTTGAAATATCAAGGGAATCATGTTGACTCAACCAATCTTTTGCCAGAGTTTTGAAACAGATACATACACATCGACAGAGCGTTTGAATGGTTTAGTGACGTACTGTCAGCGTTGTTAGAGTGAGGTCCATGTGTCTGCAAGACGCCAGCCACAATGGAGTCTGGCCAGAAGCGCTGGGTTGGACGGTGTTGGGACTTCATCTTCTTAGCCTTGGGAGCTGGGTCTGGGTTACTGGCATCCAACATGGGCTGTAGGATGCGCCTGCGAGCGTTGATAAACCTAGAGAGAGAGAGAGAGAGAGAGAGAGAGAGAGAGAGAGAGAGAGAGATAGAGAGAGAGATAGAGAGATAGAAGAGACGATAGGTAGATAGAGCAGTTAGATATTAAGAGAGCTATCGAATCGCTAATATCGCTCTACTCATACTCGATCCTGCTCTCTCTCTACTCTCTCTCATCTCTCTCTCTCTCTTCTGCTCTCCCTTCTCTCTCTCTCTCTCTTCTCTCTCTCTCTCTCTCTCTCTCTCTCTCTCTCTTCCCTCTCTCTCTCTCTCTCTCTCTCTCTCTCTCTCTCTCGCTCTCTCTCCTCCTCTCTCTCGCCTCTCTCGTCTCGCTCTCGCTCTCCTTTAACCAGTAGATGGCGCCACTATGTTGTGATTCACTATCAGGTGGTAAAGCATAGCACTGAAGTTTGAACTCATCAACATTCACTCTGAACAGTCAACATTTCTATTGATTTCATCAGAAATTCAGCAGATTTTCATCTCATATTGCATTTGCAGTAGTAGTATTACAATCTTACCAGTTGTTGACCTGTAATAAGGTGAGATTTGTTTGTCCTGCAATCTGTCTTTTCTCGTCCTCTGTTGGGTAGGGATGCTACAAAAGGGAAAGATATAAGATATTTAGGATGCCATCAGTAAAGTTTAATCAATTTCAATTAGTAGTTTTGTGAATGAATAGTTCCCTGTGACCTGCCCTGTCTGGAACTGCGAGGAGTAACAGCGTGACCTACGTTGCTAGCTACCATGACAAAGACCAAAGCCGGCAGGAGTACAGTTGTCGAGGACATTGGTGTCTCAATCACACGTGAAGGATCTTTTAAATGAACAAAAATAGTTCTACAAGCAGTTGTTACAACAACAAGAAAATAGCTTCAAGTGCTTTGTCCAAATACTGGTGGATTCGACTAATAAAATATTGGACGACCTGACCAGAGAGGTCCAGGACCTAAAGAACAGTTTGCAGTTCTCCCAGGGTCAGCTCGATGAGTTGAAACAGGAAAACTGCAAGATTACAGCAATCTGTAAGTCATTGAGAGAGGACATCAGTTCTGTCTGTGAATCCATGATAACAATGACGGATAAATCAGACCATCTCGAGGGACAATCAAGGCGTAACAACATGGTTGTGGACAGAATTGCAGAATCTCCACGGAGGACAAAGTGAGGGAAATGATCTCTGAGAAATTGAAGATGGACCACAGGAAGATTGAGGTGGAGCGCGCCCACAGGACTGAAAAACCCACCACCGGCCCAGGTGACAGGCCCAGGCCGAAATTAGTCAAGTTCCTGAGGTTCAAGGACAAGGTAGCTGTTCTGGAAAGAGCCAAGAACTTGAGAGGAACATATATCTTTCTCAACAAGGACTATCCTGAAGCTGTACGCCAGAAGAGGAAATAACTTATCCCAGTCATGAAAGCTGCAAGAGCACGTGGGGACATTGCTTACATCCACTATGACAGGCTCATTGTCCACCCTCCCTCCCAGAAGCCTGGAAGGGATGAGAGAGCCAAGCCTATGGGTTCGTAGCTTCAACCCCGCAGCACACACACACACACCAATTTATTAATGCTGAATATTTTTGCTGAATTATTTTTTTTTCTCTTGCTTTGTTTGCTCTTTCCAGGATTATGTCTATCTCTGATAAGCTACCCAGGAAAGGGCTGAAAATAGCCCATATTAATATATGTAGCCTTAGAAATAAGGTTCATGAAATCAAGAACTTTCTAACATAAGATAACATTCATATATTAGCTATTTCTGAGACTCACTTAGATCATTCATTTGATGATACAGCAGTAGCAATACAAGAATATAACATCTATAGAAGAGACAAAAATGCTTATGGGGAGGTGTTGCTGTATATATTCAGAGCCATATCCCTGTAATGCTTAGAGAAGGTCTTATGTCAAGTGGGCGGCAGGTAGCGTAGTGGTTAAGAGCATTGTGCCAGTAACCAAAAGGTCGCTGGTTCAAATCCCTGAGTCGACTAGGTAAAAGATATGTCGATGTGCCCTTGAGCAAGGCACTTAACCCTAATTGCTCCTGTAAGTCACTCTGGATAAGAGCGTCTGCTAAATGACTCAAATGTAAATGTTATTGAAGTGTTGTGGTTGCAGGTTCACTTGCCACATCTAAAGCCTTTTCTTTTGGGGTGTTGCTATAGGCCACCAAGTGTGAACAGTCAGTTTTTAAATAATATGTGTGAAATGCTTGATAGTGTATGTGATGTAAACAGAGAGGTCTACTTTCTTGGGGACCTGAATATTGACTGGTTTTCATCAAGCTGTCCGCTCAAGAGGAAGCTTCTTACTGTAACCAGTGCCTGTAATCTGGTTCAGGTTATTAATCAACCTACCATGGTGTTTACAAACACTACAGGAACAAGATCATTGTCAGAGTGGTGTGTGTAGATGAGGAAGGAATCAAACGCAGGAAACCAGGAGGACTATCACAGAACTTTAGTCAAGTCTGACAGACAAGAAACGTCAACCCAACCGGGTGGCGCAAACAGATTACGCACGAAACACTGTGCGGAGAAAACAAGAAAAAGCGCACGCAGTGCGAACTCTCGTAACACATACGAGCGACTCAAAATATCGAGCAACAGCTGACAACAAGACAATCACGCATAACACCTGACCCAAACACACGAACTAAATAAGGGAAACAATTAAGACACAAATAAGGGACAGGTGTTATGAAACAGACAAAACCAAAAGAACATGAAACATAGAACGGTGGCAGCTAGTACTCCGGAGACGACGACCGCCGAAGCCTGCCCGAACAAGGAAGAGGAGCAGCCTCGGCCGAAACCGTGACAATCATCCACATGTATCGATCACATTTTTACTAATACTGTAGAACTTTGTTCTAAAGCTGTATCCGTACCCATTGGATGCAGTGATAACAATATAGTGGCTATATCCAGGAAAGCCAAAGTTCCAACAGCTGGGCCTAAAATAGTGTATGAGATCATACAAAAGGTTTTGCTGTGACTCATATGCGGATGATGTAAAAAAAATATTTGTTGGTCTGATGTGATTAATAAGGAGCATCCAGATGCTGCACTTCATTAATTTATGAAATTGCTTCTTCCAATTATTGATAAACATGCACCTGTTAGGAAACTGACTGTTAGAACTGTTAAGGCTCCATGGATTGATGAGGAATTGATAAACTGTATGGTTGAAAGAGATGGGGAAAAAGGAGTGGCTAATAAGTCTGGCTGCACATCTGACTGGTTGACTTACTGCAAATTGAGAAATTATGTGACTAAACTCAACAAAAAGAAGAAGAAACTGTATTATGAAGCCAAGATCAATGATATAAAGAATGATGGAAAAAACTCTTTAGAGTACTTTAAATGAAATTATGGGCAGAAAGACATTCAACTCCATCTTTCATCAAATCAGATGGCTTATTCATCACAAAACCATTTGATGTTGCCAATTATTTGAATGATTACTTCATTGGCAAAGTGGGAAAACTTAGGCAGGAAATGCCAACAATGAACAGAGAGCCATCATATTCATGCATTAAAAAAAAAAAAAAATGAAAGAAAAGCATTGCAAGTTTGAATTTTGTAAAGTTAGTGTGGGAGAGGTGGAAAAATTATTGTTATCGATCAATATTGACAAACCTCTTGGCATTGACAACATAGATGGAAAGCTACTGAAGAAGGTAGCTGACTCTATAGCCACTACTATCTGTCATATCTTTAATCTGAGCCTAGAGGAAAGTCTTTGTCCTCAGGCCTGGAGGGAAGCCAAAGTAATTCCGCTACCCAAGAATGGTAAAACGGCCTTTACTGGTTCTAACAGTAGACCTATATATATGCTTGCTGCCAGCTCTTAGCAAACTGTTAGAAAAAATTGTGTTTGACCAAATGAAGTCACCGAAACCCTTAACAAATTGTTGCAGTCTGTTTTGGAATGGGTGGCCACAAATAAACTGGTCCTGAACATCTCTAAAACTAAGAGCATTGTATTTGGTACAAATCATTCCCTAAGTTCTAGACCTCAGCTGAATCTGGTAATGAATGGTGTGGCTGTTGAACAAGTTGAGGAGACTAAATTACTTGGCATTACCTTAGATTGTAAACTATCATGGTCAAAACAAATAGATTCAATGGTTGTAAAGATGGGGAGAGGTCTGTCCGTAATAAAGAGATGCTCTGCTTTTTTGACACCACACTCCAAAAAGCAGAGGGCTGATATAAATACTATGCATGCCAGTCTCTCTTGGCTAAGAGTTGAGGAGAGTCTGACTGCATCACTTCTTATTTTTATAAGAAACAATGTGTTGAAAATCCCAAATTGTTTGCATAGTCAACTTACACACAGCTCTGACACACACACTTACCCCACCAGACATGCCACCAGGTTTTTTTCACAGTCACCAAATCCAGAATAAATTCAAGAAAGCGTACAGTATTATATAGAGCCATTATTGCATGAAACTCCGTTCCATCTCATATTGCTCAAATAAACAGCAAACCTGGTTTCAAAAAACAGATAAAACAACACCTCACGGCACAACGCCTCTCCCCTATTTGACCTAGATAGTTTGTGTGTATGTATTGATATGTAGGCTATGTGTGCCTTTAAAAAACAAAATGTATGTAGTTCTGTCCTTGAGCTGTTCTTGTCTATTAATGTTCTGTATTATGTCATGTTTCATGTTTTGTGTGGACCCCAGGAAGAGTAGCTGCTGCTTTTGCAACAGCTAATGGGGATCCTAATAAAATACCAAATATCAAAACCCTCCCCCCACCCCTAAACTCTCAACCTCCCTAAACATTCGACCCATGCCCCAATCTCTGTATTCTCAGGCCCTGGCAAGAAACAATCCTTAGCCACTAAATCTAATTCCTCATAGCCTATCTGAGGGAGTGGAACTACCATATTGCTTTTACCTATTCAATTAATTAATTGAGATATTCAATTAATTAATTCAGATCTCAAACAAGTGCTTACGGGGTAGAAGCTATGTGGGTTGTTTCTGGATGAGGCCTTAGTCATACACAGCTACAACCCTGACATTTTTTGCTCTAAACCCTCCACCCTGATTTTCCTCCATAGCTTGACTCTTCTCAATAGCTTCCTCTATAGCTTAACCAAGGGAATAGGGATGAATATTAGCGCTGTTGCTATTGTAACTCCAAGACATTAACATTGATGTGAACACTGATGTTGCAAGCTCACCATGAGATGCTGGAAGAGCCAGGAGCGCATGATGTTGGTGGCATGCTTGGGCAGGACTCCTCTCTTGTTCTTGTGCTTCTTGTCATCACTGTCCAAGAGTGAAGCCAAGTCCAGGTTTACCTTGGATGGAAGAGAGGGATGGCGAGAGGGATGGGGTGTTATTGTTGCCACGGTAACAAAGAGAGAGTTCCAATCTCTTTGGCAAGGGCAGAACTGCCCTCTTCACCATCGCCATAGCAACCCGATTTGAGTAATGATACTTAAAATAAAAGGCGAGAAAGGAACGTCAATTCACAACACCCTTGATTCAGAGAAACTAGGAGGCAGATCTAGCTGAAAGAGAGAACAACAATGAGAAATCTGCCTAAAAAACCTGGCAAAGTGTGCAAAAACAAGAAAGTACAAGTAGATAGCTTGTAATTAAAACTTTGGCAGGTGGGTGGTTGAGAAAATCATGAAAAAACACCTATTCAAGAAATCTCTGATTTCTGTTTTACAGTATAGTTGGTATAGTTGCATATGTGCACACACACACACACACACACACACACACACACACACACACACACACACACACACACACACACACACACACACACACACACACACACACACACACACACACACACACACACACACACACACACACACACATACACACACACACACACACACACACCAAGACTCCTGAGTGGCGCAGTGGTCTAAGGCTGTGCCACTAGAGATCCTGGTTCGAATCCAGGCTCTGTCGCAGCCGGCCGCGACCGGGAGACTCATGGGAGGCGCACAATTGGCCCAGCGTCGTCCAGGGTAGGGGAGGGAATGGCCGGCAGGGATGTAGCTCAGTTGATAGAGCATGGTGTTTGCAACGCCAGGGTTGTGGGTTTGATTCCCACGGGGGGCCAGTATAAAAAAATATGTCTTCACTAACTGTAAGTCGCTCTGGATAAGAGCGTCTGCTAAATGACTAAAATGTAAATGTAAAAAAAGACCAATGGTACTCTATAGCTCAGTTGGTAGAGCATGGCACTTGCAACGCATCTGCTAAATGGCATACAAAATAAAAAAGGCATCTACGGTGGCATGAGATCACTATGCATGAATTCCAAAATGTATTTAATCTCAAAATGTTCACCTCTGGTCCACACACAAAACAATTATTTCCTATGGCATTGGCGCAAACAGTATCGAAGTGAGGATCCTTCATTGCTATTTAACAACCCATTTGCAATGCCTAAAACACTTTTGAGGCAAAAATATGAAGATTTCATCTGGACCATGCATATATTGGCAGGACAAAATGCCTGAATAAATAAATAAATATAATCAGCTAAAAATTATTTTTATTAATTTCATGCAGGCATTGGAAAGTCATGAAAAAGGAATGGCTCCCAACTGATTCTGATATACAGTGCCTTCAGAAAGTATTTACATCCCTTGATGTTTTCCACATTTTGTTGTGTTACGAAGTGGGATTAAAATGGATTTAATGGTCATTCTTTGTCAACGATCTACACAAAATACTCTGTCATAGTGGAAGAAATATTATATTTGTAAAAGATTTATGAAAAATAAAACAATAATATACAGTATCTTGATTAGATAAGTATTCAACCGCCTGAGTCAATACATGTTAGAATCACCTGTGAATCTTTCTGGGTAAGTCTTTAAGAGCGTTGTACACCTGGATTGTACAATATTTGCACATTATTCTTAAAAAGATTATTCAAGCTCTGTCAAGTTGGTTGTTGATCATTACTAGACAGACATTTTAAAGTATTGCCATAGAATTTCAAGCTAATTTAAGTCAAACTGTAACTAGGCCACACATTCAATGTCGTCTTGGTAAGCAACTCCAGTGTATACTTGGCTTTGCGTTTTGTCCTGTTGAAAGGTGAATTTCCTCCCAGTGTCTGTTGGAAAGCAGACTGAACCAGGTTTTCCTCAAGGATTGTGCCTGTGCTTAGCTCTAATCGGATTATTTTTATCATAAAAAACTCCCTAGTCCTTGCCAATGACAAGAAAACCCATAACATAATGCAGCCACCACCATTCTTGAAAATATGAAGAGTGGTACTCTTGTGATGTCTTGGTACTGATGTGTTGTGTTGGATTTGCCCCAAACATAACGCTTGTTATTCAGGACATAAAGTTAATTTCTTTGACACATTTTTTACAGTTTTACTTTAGTGCCTTATTGCAAACAGGATGCATGTTTTGGAATATTTTTATTCTGCACAGGCTTCCTTCTTTTCACTCTGTCATTTTGGTTAGTATTGTGGATTAACTACAATATTGTTGATCCATCCTCAGTTTTCTCATATCACGGACATTAAACTCTGTAACTGTTTTAAAGTCACCATTGGCCTCATGGTGAAATCACTGAGCGGTTTCCTTCCTCTCCTGCAACTGAGTTAGGAAGAATGCCTGTATCTTTGTAGTGACTGGGTGTATTGTTACACCATCCAAAGTGTAATGAATAACTTTACCACACTCAAAGGGATATTCAACGTCAGCTTTTTTTATATATACCCATCTACAGTGAGGGAAAAAAGTATTTGATCCCCTGCTGATTTTGTACGTTTGCCCACTGACAAAGACATGATCAGTCTATAATTTTAATGGTAGGTTTATTTGAACAGTGAGAGACAGAATAACAACAACAAAATCCAGAAAAAAATGTTTAACATTTTTTTATAAATTGATTTGCATTTTAATGAGGGAAATAAGTATTTGTCCCCCTCTCAATCAGAAAGATTTCTGGCTCCCAGGTGTCTTTTATACAGGTAACGAGCTGAAATTAGGAGCACACTCATAATCTCAGTTTGTTACCTGTATAAAAGACACCTATCCACAGAAGCAATCAATCAATCAGATTCCAAACTCTCCACCATGGCCAAGACCAAAGAGCTCTCCAAGGATGTCAGGGACAAGATTGTAGACCTACACAAGGCTGGAATGGGCTAAAAGACCATCACCAAGCAGCTTGGTGAGAAGGTGACAACAGTTGGTGCGATTATTCGCAAATGGAAGAAACACAAAATAACTGTCAATCTCCCTCGGCCTGGGGCTCCATGTAAGATCTCACCTCGTGGAGTTGCAATGATCATGAGAACAGTGAGGAATCAGCCCAGAACTACACAGGAGGATCTTGTCAATGATCTCAAGGCAGCTGGGACCATAGTCACCAAGAAAACAATTGGTAACACACTACGCTGTGAAGGACTGAAATCCTGCAGCGCCCGCAAGGTCCCCCTGCTCAAGAAAGCACATATACAGGGCTGTCTGAAGTTTGCCAATGAACATCTGAATGATTCAGAGGAGATCTGGGTGAAAGTGTTGTGATCAGATGAGACCAAAATCGAGCTCTTTGGCATCAACTCAACTCGCCGTGTTTGGAGGAGGAGGAATGCTGCCTATGACCCCAAGAACACCATCCCCACCATCAAACATGGAGGTGGAAACATTATGCTTTGGGGGTGTTTTTCTGCTAAGGGGACAGGACAACTTCACCACATCAAAGGGACGATGGACGGGGCCATGTACCGTCAAATCTTGGGTGAGAACCTCCTTCCCTCAGCCAGGGTATTGAAAATGGGTTGTGGATGGGTATTCCAGCATGACAATGACCCAAAACACACGGCCAAGGCAACAAAGGAGTGGCTCAAGAAGAGGCACATTAAGGTCCTGGAGTGGCCTAGCAAGTCTCCAGACCTTAATCCCATAGAACATCTGTGGAGGCAGCTGAAGATTCGAGTTGCCAAACGTCAGCCTCGAAACCTTAATGACTTGGAGAAGATCTGCAAAGAGGAGTGGAACAAAATCCCTCCTGAGATGTGTGTAAACCTGGTGGCCAACTACAAGAAACGTCTGACCTCTGTGATTTCCAACAAGGGTTTTGCCACCAAGTACTAAGTCATGTTTTGCAGAGGGGTCAAATACTTATTTCCCTCATTAAAATGCAAATCAATTTATAACATTTTTGACATGTGTTTTTCTGGATGTTTTTGTTGTTATTCTGTCTCTCACTGTTCAAATAAACCTACCATTAAAATTATAGACTGATCATGTCTTTGTCAGTGGGCAAACGTACAAAATCAGCAGGGGATCAAATACTTTTTTCCCTCACTGTACCAATGGGTGCCATTCTTTGTGAGTCATTGGAGAACCTCCCTGGTCATTGTGGTTGAATCTGTGTTTGAAATTCACTGTTCAACTGAGGGACCTTACAGATCATTGAATGTGTGGGGTACAGAGATGATGTAGTCATAAAAAAATCACATTCAACACTATTATTGCACACAGAGTGAGTCCATGCAATTTCTGTGACTTGTTAAGCACATTTTTACTCCTGAACGTATTTAGCTCGCCATAATAAAGGGGTTGAATACCTATTGACTCAAGACAATTCAGATTTTCATTTCTTATTAATTTGTAAAAAATTCTAAAAACATAATTCCACTTTGACATTATGGGGTATTGTGTGTAGGTCAGTGACCAAAAATATCTACATTTAATTCATTTTAACACAACAAAATGTGGAAAAAGTCAAGGGTGTGAATACTTTCTGAAGGCACTGTAAATATATGAAACACAAACACACACACAGCACAAAACAAGCCTCAATACAGTTGCAGCTGGGGTGTCATGTGTAAATCTCTCCCCCTCGGCCCTGGGAATGCGTGTTCCGGGAAAGTGGGGTTGAATTAATTGGCGGCACCAAGCCGGGGTATCATTACCGGGAGCTTGTCGGTGATGTAGCTATGGGGCTGCACTCTATTCCCAGACCACATGTAGAGCGCCGCCTCGGCTGGGTCCTGGGTATTCACAGAGGCCGCCGCTGTCTGTCAAACACAGAATGACCTGCCTGGCTGACACTGTGGCTTTCTAATACAGCTGCAGAGCACCACACTCCACAGTCTACTCCATAGGCGAGCATACGGGTGGTCTGACAGTCTGACTCAAATATGGACCACCTGTGTGAGGTTCTTCTGGTCATGGGGATTGCAGGATGTTAAAGGGACATGCACTCGCAAACTCTGACATTTAGAGCTTTCTTTGCAGGTGTGTTGGACTTCAAATGAAAATAAACAAGTGTGCAGTGTCACTTGTTTATTGTACTAACATTTCGTCAAGGAGGAAATGTTAGCACATAGGCTAAAGGCTGAAACATTAGCATAATAAACAAGTGATACTTTCCAAAAACAGTGTGCTGAAATTTCATAAGTTTACCAATGACACGTTAGCTATTACGCTATTACTCTAACATTCATTTCATGCTGTCGTAACATGTCCATAACAGAGAGGCCCACCATTTGATGACAGCTAATGACAAGCAAAAACAATGATATGCATGACACAGGGCGGCAGGTAGCTTAGTGGGTAAGAGCGTTGTGCCAGTAACCGAAAGGTCGCTGGTTTTAATCCCCGAGCCGACTAGGTGAAAAATCTGTCGATGTGCCCTTAAGCAAGGCACTTAACCCTAATTGCTCATGTAAGTCGCTCTGGATAAGAGCGTCTGCTAAATGACTAAAATGTAAATGTAAAAATGACATTGAGAGTATTTGGAGTTGTTAGTCATTATCCATCTCTACATCTTATGGCAGGAGAGGGAGGGATATGCTAGAAGAGCAGCTGACGGCCTCACCTGTGAATTCTGGATCTGGATGGTCCCCTGGGGGAGTCCCTGGGTTAACACCTGCCCTTGCGATGTCACCATGGCAACCGGCTGATACAAGGTGCCACCTGAGGGGATAATTTGCGGTCATGAGAGTCGAGTGGCTTCTTCTTCTGTGAAAACCAGTCGGCCTCGCACCGTTTCGACTCGAGAGCTCTATTATCTAACCCTACCAAAACAATAACAACAACAACATGTAAACAAGGAAGGCAAAAGCACATTGGCCGCGAATGAAGCACGAAACAAAAGCTGTATTCCTTCATTGGGTCCTGGAGGAAGGAGTTGTTCTTTTGCTACTAATTAGCACTAATTTCGATTCTCTAATCACGGATATTAATTTGAGTTTTGAGTGTCTTGCGATCAAAGAGAAAGATGGAATGAGGTTATAATTCAGAGTTGAAAGGGATTTCCAGAGGGCAGGGTTAACAACAAGAAACCCAGACACACTCTTGAGTGATATACAGTGAGGGAAAAAAGTATTTGATCCCCTGCTGATTTTGTAAGTTTGCCCACTGACAAAGAAATGATCAGTCTATAATTTTAATGGTAGGTTTATTTGAACAGTGAGAGACAGAATAACAACACAAATATCCAGCAAAACGCATATCAAAAATGTTATAAATTGATTTACATTTTAATGAGGGTAATAAGTATTTGACCCCCTCTCAATCAGAAAGATTTCTGGCTCCCAGGTGTCTTTTATACAGGTAACGAGCTGAGATTAGGAGCACACTCTTAAAGGGAGTGCTCCAAATCTCAGTTTGTTACCTGTATAAAAGACACCTGTCCGCAGAAGCAATCAATCAATCAGATTCCAAACTCTCCACCATGGCCAAGACCAAAGAGCTCTCCAAGGATGTAAGGGACAAGATTGTAGACCTACACAAGGCTGGAATGGGCTACAAGACCATCGACAAGCAGCTTGGTGAGAAGGTGACAACAGTTGGTGCGATTATTCGCAAATGGAAGAAACACAAAAGACTGTCAATCTTCCTCGGCCTGGGGCTCCATGCAAGATCTCACCACATGGAGTTGCAATGATCATGAGAACGGTGAGGAATCAGCCCAGGGAAGATCTTGTCAATGATCTCAAGGCAGCTGGGACCATAGTCACCAAGAAAACAATTGGTAACACACTACGCCGTGAAGGACTGAAATCCTGCAGCGCCCGCAAGGTCCCCCTGCTCAAGAAAGCACATATACAGGCCCGTCTGAAGTTTGCCAATGAACATCTGAATGATTCAGAGGAGAACTGGGTGAAAGTGTTGTGGTCAGTTGAGACCAAAATGGAGCTCTTTGGCATCAACTCAACTCGCCGTGTTTGGAGGAGGAGGAATGCTGCCTATGACCCCAAGAACATCATCCCCACCGTCAAACATGGAGGTGGAAACATTATGCTTTGGGGGTGTTTTTCTGCTAAGGGGACAGGACAACTTCACCGCATCAAAGGGACGATGGACGCGGCCATGTACTGTCAAATCTTGGGTGAGAACCTCCTTCCCTCTGCCAGGGCATTGAAAATGGGTCGTGGATGGGTATTCCAGCATGACAATGACCCAAAACACACGGCCAAAGCAACAAAGGAGTGGCTCAAGAAGAAGCACATTAATAAATAAAATAAAAATTAAGGTCCTGGAGTGGCCTAGCCAGTTTCCAGACCTTAATCCCATAGAAAATCTGTGGAGGGAGCTGAAGTTTCGAGTTGCCAAACGTCAGCCTTGAAACCTTAATGCCTTGGAGAAGATCTGCAAAGAGGAGTGGGACAAAATCCCTCCTGAGATGTGTGCAAACCTGGTGGCCAGCTACAAGAAACGTCTGACCTCTGTGAATGCCAACAAGGGTTTTGCCACCAAGTACTAAGTCATGTTTTGTAGAGGGGTCAAATACTTATTTCCCTCATTAAAATGCAAATCAATTCATAAGATTTTTGACATGCGTTTTTCTGGATTTTTTTGTTGTTATTCTGTCTTTCACTGTTCAAATAAACCTACCATTAAAATTATAGACTGATCATGTCTTGTCAGTGGGCAAACTTACAAAATCAGTAGGGGATCAAATACTTTTTTCCCTCACTGTACACTACATGACCTAAGGTATGTGGACACCTGCTCGTCGAACATCTTGTTCCAAAATCATGGGCATTAATATGGAGTTGGTCCCCCCTTTGCTGCTATAGGGAAGGCTTTCCACTAGATGTTGGAACATTGCTGCGGGGACTTGCTTCCATTCAGCCACAAGAGTATTAGTGAGGTCGGACACTGATGTTGGGTGATTAGGCTTGGCCTGCAGCCGGCATTCCAATTCATCCCAAAGGTGTTCGATGGGGTTGAGGTCAGGGCTCTGTGCAGGCCAGTCAAGTTCTTCCACACCGATCTCAACAAACCATTTCTGTATGGACCTCGCTTTGTGCACGGGGGCATTGTCATGCTGAAACAGGAAAGAGCCTTCCCAAACTGTTATCACAAAGTTGGAAGCACAGAATCGTCAAGAATGTCATTGTATGCTGTAGTGTTAAGATTTCCCTTCACTGGAACTAAGTTGCCTAGCCCAAGCCATGAAAAACAGCTCCAGACCATTATTCCTCCTCCACCAAACAATACAGTTGGCACTTTGCATTGGGGTAGGTAGCGTTCTCCTGGCCTCCGCCAAACCCAGATTATTCCGTCAGACAGCCAGATGGTGAAGCAAGATTCATCACTCCAGGGAACGCATTTCCACTGCTCCAAAGTCCAATGGCGGCAAGCTTTACACCACTCCAGCCGACGCATGGCATTGTGCATGATGATCTTAGGCTTGTGTGCAGCTGCTCGGCCATGGAAAGCCATTTCATGAAGCTCCCGACGAACAGTTCTTGTGCTGACGTTGCTTCCAGAGGCAGTTTGGAACACAGTAGTCAGTGACTGACCTTCATGTCTTAAAGTAATGATGGACTGTCGTTTCTCTTTCCTTATTTGAGCTGTTCTTGCCATAATATGGACTTGGCCTTTTACCAAATAGGGCCAGCCCTGTTTTAATTCTACATTTTGTGCATGCAGGGTAGAACACTTTGTACAATTTGTACATACACTGCAACTGTTTCTGCCTATGTCACTACAATGTAGAGGTATAAGGGACACTTGCTGTATGATGTAATATCAGGGAAGGTGAAGTACCCATACAACTGGGTTGAGGAAGGTGGAAAAGCTTCTCACCTGACACCACCTGGGAGTTGATGGTAGTCATGGCAACATTGCCCTGTTGCAGGGTCCCGGTGGGCACCATGATCCCCGAGGAGTTGACAGAGCTGGAGAGCGATGTCATGGACGGAGAGGATGTCTGGAGGAGGTCCTGGTGAGGTCAGAGATCATAGGACGAGAGGGAACCAGTAAGGGGTTTGAGAAAGGCTGTTCAGGATGTACATACGACTAATAAAACTTGAAACTTGAAACATGAAAGTACCGAATGTTGCAGATAAAAATGCCATGAATAGAGCTGATGATCCTTAGTGCTACATGTAGGAGACATGTTCTTCAAAATGTATTTCTATCCAAACTTTACACAATGTATTAGACTAATGAATACGTCTCAGATGTTTGGACACAAGTATAATGGTATTTCAGAAAAAAACTGAAACATAAAAAATGCAGTTGGCTCCTTCAAAGTTACCAGATACACTCTGTTTAGAGTGTGTACATATGTGTAAGTGTCCGCCTTACCTGCTGCAGGCTGAGCGAGGTGTGCGAGGGCGAGTAGGGCCCGCCCAGGTCATTGCGAAGCAGGTTGTCGCTGTGCATCTTGGTCTTGAGGCAGGTGATGTAGCGGTTGCAGAAGTCCTTGCAGAGCTCATTAACCTTCTCCAGCTCCAGAAGATGGATCCTCAGCACCTGGATGGCCTTCACCATCTCGGGAGGGAGAGAGAGAGGAATATAAGCAAGCTCAATGACTGTGGAAGGAAGGAGGCTACATGCTAGCCTGGATGCTAGTCTAGGCTAGCTCAACTTTAGCTAGCTCTATTGTTGATTTCTCCAGCTTTAGAAAGGTGTAACCTTTCAAATGCATTTGTATTTGAGTATCTGGTATAAAAAAATATTTTGGTGTGTATTTGAGAATGTTCAAATACACAGCCAAAAACATGTACTTTTATTTGAGTATTTGAATGGTTATTTGATAAAAACCAAATAGTCGACCAAATTGTATTTAAGATAATTTTCAAATATCTGGATAAATGCATGGGAGTGTATTTGAGGCAGTGTATTTGAATTTTTCAAGTGTATTCCAAGTGTATTTCCAAATACATAAACATTTCAACTTCTTGTCTTTTCAAATAAGAATATATCTGAACACTTATTTCAAATGTATGTGAAAGTAATTGAGATATTTGAAATAGTATTTGAACCCAGGTCTGAACCTGAGCACCTGGATGGCCTTCACCATATGAGGAGAGAGAGGCAAAGCCAGCAAGCTCAATGACTGGGGAAGTAGGCTACATGCTAGCCTGAATGCTAGGCTGGCTCAACATTGGCTAGCTCCATGGTTATCTTCTCTAGTTTGAACCAAAGGTAAATAAGCCAGCAGGGTCAATAATATTGGCAATGAAGTGCCAATGGGCTTGGTGTTGTTTCTGGACAGCCCCCTCATGTGCCTTACAAATGATATGCTAGCCCTAGTCAGTCTCTGAACGTTCTCAGATAGCCCTTGACATAACACCTGCTAATCCATGAGCCCTCTCAAAATCCTTCACCATGATCCAAACTTGGTCCTTTTTCCAACCAAGCTTCTCCTCCCAGTGCTCATTCCCTCAAAGTCAGCACTCAAGGGCACCAGAATGGGACGGAAAAGTGCTTGGCCAAGGAGGAGATAAATCTGCCAATTACTGCCGCTTGTTTAATCGGGAGCCAAGTGCCATCTCGGCCAGTCAGCTCCAGCATTACCGTCCTGTGGAAGAGTTAGTGTGTGCCAGGGCCAGTCCGCGACCGGCACCTCATAAAGCACACAGATGTGGGGTTAATTGACTGCCACGCCACTTGTCGGCCGAATACCCCCGTAATGATGAGAGCCGACCTTCAATCACTCTCTCTCTCCCCAGCCACCTTCCCTATTTCTCCTAATTTCTAATTACTGCTAGCTGTCATGGAAGGGTGGGAGGGAGAGATCATGAGGGGGAGAGTGGGAAAGGGGAAGAGAGAGAAAGGGTGAATATAAATAAATATTGAGAGAGACAAAGGAGGAGAAAGAGGGGGTACAAGAGGGAAGGGAAAGGGGTAGACGTGACTGCATGTGAGAGACAGAGAGAGAGAGAGAGAGAGAGAGAGAGAGAGAGAGAGAGAGCAAATTGATAGTGTAGAAGAGAGAACCATGTACATGAGAAAGGGTGAGAGAGAAAATAAGACAAATTGATATGAGTGGGAAATAAAATGGGGTGTATGTGAATGGGATATGTAATGACTGCCTCCACCAGTAGAGGAAGCAAATCATCCTCAACATTAGTAAGCCACGTTAGACTATTGAGATACCGCCTCAACATGAGGAAGCCGTTAGACTATTGAGATGCTTCAAAGCTACGTTAGACTATTTAGATGACCCCCATGCAGGGTACTAACCAGGTTGTCTAGGTCGGGGTCCTCGCTGAAGAATGGCTTGTGGTCCTGCTCCTGCTGGTGCACAAAGTTCTCGATGTCCACATCAAAGCTGGCAGAGGTGATGCACTCAGAGCCCTGGGTTGCCTGCTCACACTTCTCAAACAGCAGGGCCAGCAGTGGAAATAGGGGATGTCTGGAAGGATAGGAGAAGATGGGGCGGCAGGTAGCTTAGTGGTTAAGAGCGTTGTGCCAGTAACTGAAAGGTCGCTGGTTCTAATCCCCGAGCCGACTAGGTGAAAAATCTGTCGATGTGCCCTTGAGCAAGGCACTTAACCCTAATTGCTCATGTAAGTCGCTCTGGATAAGAGCGTCTGCTAAATGACTAAAATGTAAATGTAAGACAGGAAGTAGTTAGACTTCCTAACTGCTCTAGCTGTATCTTGATTGCCATATAAGGAGTAGTTCCAGGTGCAAAGAGGAAAACAAACTATGTTTGAGAAGAATAAACATTGTTTGTAATGGATACTGCTCTCGCTGTATCCGTATTTGAGGTGTGTGTATCATGTTTACAGACTGAGGTCGACAATGCTCCTTTTAAATGCAATGTTCCTGCGTTGGCTGAAACCGCATTCATAGTAAAGGCTCAATCGGAAATTACCTTTAAATGGCGCATTGTCCCAATGAGGGGGAAGACTGAATTTAGAAGTTTTGTTGTGTATTGTGTTCTAGATACTGTATTGTTGCCCTGCAACAATGCTCTACAGTGGGGAAAAAAAGTATTTAGTCAGCCACCAATTGTGCAAGTTCTCCCACTTAAAAAGATGAGAGAGGCCTGTAATTTTCATCATAGGTACACGTCAACTATGACAGACAAATTGAGAATTTATTTTCCAGAAAATCACATTGTAGGATTTTTAATGAATTTCTTTGCAAATTATGGTGGAAAATAAGTATTTGGTCACCTACAAACATGCAAGATTTCTGGCTCTCACAGACCTGTAACTTCTTCTTTAAGAGGCTCCTCTGTCCTCCACTCGTTACCTGTATTAATGGCACCTGTTTGAACTTGTTATCAGTATAAAAGACACCTGTCCACAACCTCAAACAGTCACACTCCAAACTCCACTATGGCCAAGACCAAAGAGCTGTCAAAGGACACCAGAAACAAAATTGTAGACCTGCACCAGGCTGGGAAGACTGAATCTGCAATAGGTAAGCAGCTTGGTTTGAAGAAATCAACTGTGGGAGCAATTATTAGGAAATGGAAGACATACAAGACCACTGATAATCTCCCTCGATCTGGGGCTCCACGCAAGATCTCACCCCGTGGGGTCAAAATGATCACAAGAACGGTGAGCAAAAATCCCAGAACCACACCGGGGGACCTAGTGAATGACCTGCAGAGAGCTGGGACCAAAGTAACAAAGCCTACCATCAGTAACACACTATGCCGCCAGGGACTCAAATCCTGCAGTGCCAGACGTGTCCCCCTGCTTAAGCCAGTCCATGTCCAGGCCCGTCTGAAGTTTGCTAGAGTGCATTTGGATGATCCAGAAGAGGATTGGGAGAATGTCATATGGTCAGATGAAACCAAAATATAACTTTTTGGTAAAAACTCAACTTGTCGTGTTTGGAGGACAAAGAATGCTGAGTTGCATCCAAAGAACACCATACTTACTGTGAAGCATTGGGGTGGAAACATCATGCTTTGGGGCTGTTTTTCTGCAAAGGGACCAGGACGACTGATCCGTGTAAAGGAAAGAATGAATGGGTCCATGTATCGTGAGATTTTGAGTGAAAACCTCCTTCCATCAGCAAGGGCATTGAAGATGAAACGTGGCTGGGTCTTTCAGCATGACAATGATCCCAAACACATCGCCCGGGCAACGAAGGAGTGGCTTCGTAAGAAGCATTTCAAGGTCCTGGAGTGGCCTAGCCAGTCTCCAGATCTCAACCCCATAGAAAATCTTTGGAGGGAGTTGAAAGTCTGTGTTGCCCAGCGACAGCCCCAAAACATCACTGCTCTAGAGGAGATCTGCATGGAGGAATGGGCCAAAATACCAGCAACAGTGTGTGAAAACCTTGTGAAGACTTACAGAAAACGTTTGACCTGTGTCATTGCCAACAAAGGGTATATAACAAAGTATTGAGAAACTTTTGTTATTGACCAAATACTTATTTTCCACCATAATTTGCAAATAAATTCATTAAAAATCCTACAATATGATTTTCTGGATTTCTTTTCCTCATTTTGTCTGTCATAGTTGACGTGTACCTATGATGAAAATTACAGGCCTCTCTCATCTTTTTAAGTGGGAGAACTTGCACAACTGGTGGCTGAATAAATACTTTTTTCCCCACTGTATGTCTTACACCCAGGAACCACATAAGCAAGTTAACTTGATTGTTAGCTCCACTGACAAATAAAACAGACAAAGCAAACGGTAGACAATGAGATGACAAGCAAACGGTAGACAATGAGATGATCTACTGCACACCCAGCCACCAGGCTCAGTAAAGATGCAGGAGTAATCCACTGGGCACACACTGGTTGAATCAACGTTGTTTCCACGTCATTTCATTGAAATGACGTGGAGCCAATGTGGAATAAATGTTGAATTGATGTCTGTGCCCAGTGGGAAATGCATATGATTGAGTGAAAAAGGAGCCTCCACACACTTCAATCAGACACAATTAAAACGCTGATTGAAGTGTGCGGAGACTCCTTTTTCACCCCCTGACAAGCAAACAAAATAATGAACAAACTTTTTTACGCAATCTCGTATCACTGTGTTATCAATAGTTTGGATTAGTGTTGCAAAAGTCCAGTAACTATCCCAAAAATTCCTGCTTATTCCCTTCTGATTCTGTGAATCTTCAAACCATGAATTCTGAAAACCTAGTTTGGAAAGTTTTCTCAAATTCCCTAGGACATTTAATTCTGGTATGAATCAATATGAAGATGACGTTAAGTAGTAATGATATGGTCCATTGCGATAACAGTGAATGTCACCTACATTGTTACCATCTGTCTTTTATGGCCAATGTCACAAAGGTCAGACCACTCAGTAATATGGATAAATGATCCATCTGCAAAGCCCCCTTTGTTTAATAACAGTATATCCAACATCTGCAACTCAGGCAATAATGCCTGTTCAATGTTAAGGAGAGAATATACAGTATATCAATGAGTATCAATGTTTTGCAGAATTCAGAGTTGGTCAAAGTTTATGGATACTTGCGTAGAATTGACTGGACAAGACTAAAACAGAAAACAATAGAAAATCAAATAGAATAGAAGATAAAAACATCTTAATCACTTCTTCTGAATTACTTCCTAATCACTCCTTAATAATCATACAAATGCCAGGAAAAAGCCTTTGACTGTGCGTGTATCACAAAACTATTCAAACACTAAGAAGCACTTCATCAAGCGCAATATAGTACCAATAACCTTTATAGCTTTACGTGTTTCACGTTGTAAAACCCAAAATATCAAAGACACCTCATAACATGAAACAACATGACAATTAATTAAAATCTCCCCAAAAAACATGACCTCCCTGCATCCGTCTCTGTACTAAAGTGGTGTGTGTGTTTGTGTGTGTGCGGTTGGTCTGTGCCTACGTGTATGCATGCATACATCCATCAGCGTACGTGCATGCGTGCTTGTGTGTGTGTGTGTGTGTGTGTGTGTGTGTGTATGTATGTGTGTATTTGTTGCGTGACGGAGTAGGTAGGTAGGGGGGAAGCGGGCATGCAGCACACAGGGCTACTCTAGGATGCTGGGAGAGTGGGCCCCTGCTCTGGCTCTTACCCATGGCTCGCAGCCTTTAATAGCCCACTATATTAGACTCTAATCTGCCTGATCCCAATTTAATGCGGCTCCCTCGGCCAGACGTGAGACGAATACTAAACAGGCGGCCATGCGCAGAGCGCTGAGCTGCAGTCCCCCCGGCCTCATTCAAGGGGGGTGTGTGTGTGCGTGCATGTGGGAGAGAGAAAGAGAGAAGAGAGAGAGCGAGAGGGGGGGGGGGGGGGGGGGGGGGGGTTCAGTATAAGTGCCAACCACTTCCTCCCTCTGAAACCGCACACAGAGGAAGGGGATGAAGGAAGGAGAAGATTGAGGATAGGAGTGGAGGGGGGATAAGGGAGAGGGGCTGGCTGCAAAGGGGTAATATGTTCATCAGGGCTTGTTTTTCAGGTCCTATGCTATGGCAGGTGTTCAATTATTGAACTTGCTGGTGATCTAACGCACAGTTCAGACGCCGAATTTATGGCGAGTGGAACTGAATAGAAATTAAGAGCGGGCTGGCACGGTTGAGTGCTTATTATGACATACTGATTGGTTTCATACAACCGCTCTCAACACTACAGTTGGTTTTGGGTCGAATTCAGGCATTACAGCGACCTCTTCTGTGTTAAAGAAATGACTAAGTTTATTGCACTAAAAAGGCAAAGACAAATCACACACCTGTGCAGCACGGAAGTTACTGTTTGAAACAGTGAATATGATCGGTTTACTGTGTCTCGGTTAACGTAATGTGTGTTCAGATTTCATAACTCCCTTTTACTAAGGAATAACAAAGCGTCTTCTCATCCCTTAAAAAAAACCATGAGGTATGTTAGCGATAGCGATATTACTGTGCAACGTAGATGTTCTATTTTCCCCCGAGATTGCAAAGTAATTCATATGTTGATGTAGTGCCCATCGGTTATGAATGTTTCAACCTCGGTGTTGAGAAGTCGTGTTTTTTGTCAGTTGCTGGTTTCAAAGATTACCAAAAACTACACTAACCATGAATACGCCTTTTAGCATTTCTGCCACCACAGAAACAGACCCTGGGTCTGTTCTAACACGTCCACCTGTGAATCCAAGGGGGATACACGCTTTTCACGCCATTTTGGTCGGTGGGCGGTGCTATAAGTAATGGTGGGCATAGATTTCAGTGGAATCCACACAGTCTCGAGAACAAGCCGAGCATTCGCTCATGTTCGGATCGTGGAATCTATTTAACACACCGCTAAGCTATAGAGTACAGTTTGGTTAAACTTAACTACAGTAATGGATGTTACTGTTTCATCAGGGAACCACAAAGATGAAGTAAATAAATGTAATCGCTGAATTCACATTA